TTTCTCATTTACTACTCTCTTTAAAATAAAATATAAAAAATACAGAAATAAGATATATTGTAAATTTTCATTCTCATGAGAAATAGTCATAATCATGAATGCAAAGATTCCAGAATTCTTTTTTTTTTTCAGTTCTTTTAAAACCTTATAATGATCAGTTGTGTTATCTGTTATAATCATTTGTCTGTTCTTGATGTCTTGCACTTATTAAATTTTGTATAATATCCCTACAAACTGAAAAATTATATAAATTAGATTTCTGTCCATCAGATGAATAATTCCCTCAGTATCATAAATTTTCACCTGAAGGGTGTGTAACAACATTTGCTTATGACATAAGAAAACTTTCACTGTTTAGAGCTTATTTATGTGTATAAGTAATGAACACTTTTCAATGAAAATTTGTAAAAGACCTTTTTATAAGATAAGACTATTTCAGGGGTCCCCAAGACTACTCACATGTTTTGCAGTGTTATTTTTTTTTTTTTTTGTCGTTTTGAGACAGGGTCTCACTATGCAGTTCAGGCTGGCCTTGAGCTCACTTTGTAGCCCAGGCTGGCTGCGAACTCGCAACGATTCTCCTGCTTCAGCCTCCCTAGTGCTGGGATTACAGGCGTGCGCCACCACAGCTGGCTTGGCAGTGTTATTGAAAAGCTCATATAGTTCTATTCACAGCAAGATTTATTATAATGTTACAGCAAGGATATAAAACTCAGTAAGGACAAGAAACCCGTGAAATCTGGAGAAAGCCATAGGCAGGCTTCCTGTGCTCTCTCCCTCCATGACAGGTTACACAGAGCATACTTTTTCCAGGAAGCGAAAATGTTGTCACATAATTTACAGTACTTCTTCCCAGGGATGCCCATATAGAAACTCAGTAGCCAAAGATTTTATTGAGTTGGTCATTTAGGCAGCTTTTTTCTAGTAACTGCCAAAATTCCAGAGACTCCTAGAAGCAAAGCAAGTATTCAGTGCCCCAGGTGGGAAAAATGGTCTATCATTTTTAAGGAAGCTTCCCAACAGTACAGGGAACTGTTCAGCAACCAGATTCCAAGATGCTCATCAAAGTTCAACCCTGCAGAAAAGGTTGCAGCCTCAAGAATGCTGTATTGATTCTCCTGCACAGAGCCTTAACGGTATAAGTTTTCCTCCATTACCTACCAAAGCATATAATTCAATTAATTTTTCATTTTAAAAAATGTCAAGTCCCATGGAAAAATAAAATCTCTCTTAAAAGTATCCCACTGTGATATTTACAATATTTTCTTCATTTTTTCTTTTTTATTTTAAAGATAAAAGAATGAAAACATATTAACAAACACATATACATTTAGAAAATAACACAAAAATGACATGTAAGGCTTTACTTCATTGAGTGGTATCTAGGAGTGCACAGGTTTCAATATGTATACCAATTATACTCCATAGTCATTATCTTTGTGAAAGTATTCTATTTTTATAGGGAAAGATAAGAAAATATTCTTTTTAAAAAAAACTAGAAAGCACAAGTGTGTTTTTGTATAGATTTTTAAGTAGACCTACAGGTTCTAAGGACTAGCATACAAGAAACATAGGAGATACATTGTGCAATCCAATTCATCCAAGCAGTCTGTTATCCATGTAGCTTTCTAAAAACAAACCAATCCTGTCTTGTCATTTTGCAAAATAATGAACTGTAACACTAATGATTACTTGTGAAAACACAAAAGGAAAAAACCCAGTCAGTCATTTTATGGGGGGAATAACTGTATTTAAATTAGCTACACTTACGCACACTAGCCTGAGTTATTATTTGAGCTACTGTTTTGAAACAAAACGCACTCAAGCAAATCAACACAGTATGATGGGTTTTATCTTTTATGCCTTCTCTCAAAAATTGATTATGAATTTCTATTGCCATGGATGCTGCAAAGGTTGATATATGTGTAAATATATGTCACATACATATATACATGTTTATAGTGCTTTGACAGTTGGGTGATTATCATGTCTGGGTTACACTGTATGTTAGCAGATTTTCTGACCCCTATCTTTACAGTTAATACCCATCCATAATATATTAATTAGAGTTATGTAAATCACACACAGAACAAGAAAATATTTATGTTAGTAGAATGCTATTTGGTTAGTGAAGATACTAAATAATATGGATGTTTTATATAAAACCAAGATCAGCAAATTTTATATAAACATAATTCACTTGCCCCTTACTGATATATTGATACACCTTCATGAAGAAAGAGAATCTGTTACTTAAAAATCATTTTGGAAGAATATCTGTGAATTAAAATCAGACATACTATCTCTGTTCCCACTTGTCTAGCGTGTGAACATAATCTTATTACTCCTCTCCAGTAAACTATCTAACTTAGTAGACTAACTGGAGCCATTGACTGATAGTCCTTAATCAAGAGCTAGACCAGTCAGTACAACTGTAGGTTTTTCTCCAGACATATTAAGCTGTTCAGGTACTTAGAATGGATGGAATAAATATAATTTAAATGAGATGATGTTTAGCTGTACAGGTATGATGAAAGGAGCATAGTTCAAGGGACCCATTGTAATGATGTCCCATGGGAATAAAGTAGGAAGAGTGAAATAAAGGCATAAGAGGGTGATAATATTAAATGAATTAAATGCCTCTATAAATATATTTTAATTGATAAGACAGTAGTATTAGACTATTTAAACAGTAGCTATTAGGGCAGTCGCTGGAGTATGTTTAAGACATCAAACATGTTCATGGGAGTGGATAGCTCAAAAGTAGGAAGGTAAAGATAATTGGAAATCTGTAGTAAGGAGCCAAGATGCCGACATCATGTACACGAAGATTACTCCACATACAATGCTGGAATAGGCATAAAATGAACACTGACCCAAGTGTTAAAATATTTAGCAACTAAGGGAGTTGGAGATGAATGGGTATTAGTCATATTTGCTTGCTTAATTCGTAAGATATTTGTGAGAATCAAATGATATATTCTCTGAAAAATCATAATAAAATGGTACAAAATTGGGTGGGGGGAGTAGGATAAAACCCCTTAGTTTTACCAGTGCTTCATAACCTGATTTCTCTACCTGTGAACTAAGAGTAAAGACAGTATCCTATCCTGTTTCGTAGGAGATTAGAAAGTTAAGTGACATGATATATTAATTTATTTGAAGCTTAGGGGAGGTACTTTTTCAAACCAGGATTTAGATTCTTTGTTTAGCCTTGAAAGCTCTGTATAACCTGCTGGTACTCTGGATCACACTGAGTATCAGATAACATTCTTCCTTATCTTTGATTTCAGACATTTCAACAGTCTTCTCTGCAGCACAAATCGAAGAAGAAGAATAAAGGTAAGAAATAGAAAACTATACCTGCTTACTTTGCACTGTGATAATCACCAGCACCCTTCACTCACCCTTTCTTGCTTGAGCCCAGGGTGGTTTGGAAAAGCACAGCCCTGTAGTACAAAGACCTACCAAGACCATCTCCTTCAGTTCAGTTTGCAGACTAGGTGCCTTTTACAAGAAATGGTCCCAATATATTTTGAGGCTGGGATTCCACATTTCTGATAAGATTGTGTCACTTATGTGGAAGGAAAAGTATTAATGATTTATATACTACAATCTAAAAATGATGTTTTAAGGTTTAGAACTCAAACTTAATTTTAGTATCTATCGATTAATCCTCTACATCTTTTTCAAAATTTAAGCACCATTTTAACTTACTATTATATTTAGGTCCCATAGCAGGCAAGAGCAAAAGACGAATTTCTTGCAAGGATCTTGGCCGTGGTGACTGTGAGGGCTGGCTTTGGAAAAAGAAAGATGCAAAGAGTTATTTTTCACAGAAATGGAAGAAATATTGGTTTGTTCTAAAGGATGCATCCCTATACTGGTATATCAATGAAGAGGTAATGCAATATACATTTTGTGTTCTCATCCATTCTCTATCTTTAACCAAAAGTATCACTATTTTGAGATTGATATTTAAAAATCATATTTTAAAGCCAACTCAGGAGACAAATTCTAGTTGTTTCAATTCATCCTCTTTTTTTAATTAATTAAATTTATTGTACACTTTAAATATACATTGCATTTGGAGATTCTAAAAATAATTTTCTCAATTATTCTAATGAAGGAATATATCTAAAGCACAGATAAGGGAAAGTAAAATTGTGTATATCTAACTAAAAATACTAAGCAAATTTAAGCAATAGCATAACTAAAAGGACTCTACATTAAAATTTAATATAGATTTTTAAATGTCTTGCTTTTTTTTAAAGTTTCACATTTTTTTCTGTTCTCCCCCAAGGATGGAGCCCTTTAGCAATGTATATAAATTTAGTATCTCCTGAATTTGTTTTTCTTGATGAACAATGATTTCTGCTGTTACCTTACCCAAAAATGTATGTGGCTTAATATAGTATGTTGGTTAAAGTCTTCTAACAAATACTGTTAACATGGTAATTTGCATTTGAAGATTAATTGCTGAAATATAATTCAACATTACTGTGCTTATGATTATAACATATAGTATCTAGAGTATTGGTGTTTGCTAAACAAGCTGTTATTTTATATCATGTCACATTATGTCATGCCACGAGGGTAGGCTCCGGAATCACACCACTTGAGTTACTGTGCTTCAGCTTCTTCATCTGTGAAACAGGAGTACTAATTCCTGTTACTGAGTTAGTATATGTATGAAATTAATCAACAAATATAAAACCTACTTAGAACAATGCCTAGTACATACTAAGTGCTCAAGCAATTTACTAAGAGTAATATTTTTCAAATTGAACCTTTATTTGGACAATATAGAATTAATATTTTCTAGTTAATATAATTATATGTATTATATCTACAAAAAGATTTTATTGGTTTTATTCTTTTGATATTCTTGTGGCAATCATGCAGTTACCTAAAACATTGACAGCAACCTTTTAGAGCTTTAAATGATACAGCCTGCTGTAGCATGCATGCCGTAGGATCACCACCACTAACCTAAAATAGCCTGTTTTAGATGTCTTCTTTTAGCTATAATAAACCTTAATTTTACCTATATTTTAATGTAATAGATATATTAAATACTTCTTATATATCAACCAGGTAATATAATTATCAAAAATGTTGTATACAGGCTATTCCAACTCATCTGAAACTATCTTTGGTAAGCGCTTTAATCATTGTGTCCCTTCCCCTGGTCATGTCAAGCTCCTTAGAATTTTACTCAGCCAAACTTTTATTTGATCTGTGCTATGCCAGTTTATAGAACCTTAAATGTCAAGTTCAAATTAGACTACATTCCCATCCTATTTTTTTCAGTCCAGCATTAGAGAGGAAAGTTTTATGGATTTTATTCTGTTTTCCAGATGAAAAAGCTTACTCGCTCACTCGCTCGCTCTCTCTCTCTCTCTCTCTCTCACACACACACACACACACACACACACACACACACACTTTACATTCCAAGTAAGATATGTGTAGATCAAGTTGACCTATTTCATTTGTAAATTCATGAATATACAAAACAGTAATTATATAATTAGAAAACAGATAATTTATGTTTGAAAATTGTTGAAAGCAGAAAGGAAATTGAATGAGTAACCATGTGTATTTTATATCTGAAAATTAAGTATAATAGAAAATCATGTATTGCAAAGGTGAACTACAGTTTATTTTGTGTATTCTATATGTCTGTATGCCCTCTGACCAGAGGGTTTCTTTATTTTTTTTTTTTTTTTAGTGATACTAGGGATTGTATCCAGGGCCTAGCAAGTGCTCTTTTGGGGCCCACAGCCCCCAAAATGTTCTTGTAAAACATATCTCAGTTTAAGCATTTCAAAAATTTCTATCCTTATTTTAATACAAAAGAAGTTTTTAAAGCGTTGAGTAATTTTAATTTGTACTATTCTGAATGTTCAAAATACCTTCAAGCCAGGTGTGGTGGCACACAGTTTTAATCCCAGCACTGAGGAGGCTGAGACAGGAGGATCCTTGTGAGTTCAAGGACGTACTGGGTTACATAATGAGTTCAAAAACAGCATGAAGTATATAGCGAGACTCTTTCTAAAAATATATATATATATATATATATATATATATATATATATATAATTTCAAAATATACCTTCAGTTTATGGAATGTAACTGGTAAGAGTGGAATTCTATTCTCAAATGTCAAGTTTAAGGAGTTAGATGAATAAATTTATTAGTATAGATATTTAAGGTATGGTTACACAATAGCATTGTGTAATAACCCCTTTTTGTATTAATAGCCTAAACAAGAATCTTGCTTCCTTAGGATGAAAAAGCAGAAGGATTCATCAGTCTGCCTGAATTTAAAATTGATAGAGCCAGTGAATGCCGCAAGAAGTAGTAAGTTGATTTTATTTGGGAAGAGGGAAGTAAGGGAAAATGTGTTGGTTGGTTGGTTTGTTTAATTTGCAACTCTTAAATTATAGGTCGCTTATTTAGTGCTTTCAAATTGAGGTAATAAAATAGTTTTGTGAATAGAAAATTTAATTTTTTACTGATTTCTGTCATCATGGTAGAAACATTAGAATGTGAACTCAGGTTAGATGTTGAGGTGAATTTTACCCATATTATTTGGTTTGAACTTATTTCCTGATTTATAATAAAATAAATGTAACTTTTTTTCCAGTGCATTCAAAGCCTGTCATCCTAAAATCAAAAGCTTTTATTTTGCTGCTGAACATCTTGATGACATGAACAGGTAAGATATTACTTAAATTTCAAAGTATGTAGACAGACTTAGAATTCTATGTTTTCTACAGTAATGCTTAAAGAAAGTCACTGAACTTTCTAGATTGATTAATTTAAAGTAAAATGGAACTGTCTATGGTTCCATGTGACCATACCTAAGTTTAAAGAACAGTATTTATCATATCCTATTGTAAACCCCAAATATACACTATTTATTTTGAAAATAATGACCTTTAAAATATCAGGCTCATTGATTATTTGTCAAGTTTATCAAAAAGCTACCAGAATCCATTTATAGACCAAAAAATTTCTACCACTAAAAGAGTTTTTTAAAGTTCATTTCAAAAATATCTTAAAGATTTATTCATAGGTGAATAAATATAATTATGCAATTCAGCTGACTTTTTCAAGTGCAAAGAATTATGTACAGAACATCTCTCTCAATAATTCAGGCCTCAGACCTTAGAGCCAACTGAGTAGATGGCGCTGTGGTTATTTGGTGGCTCATTATGTACCATATTCTTCTTCGTGTTTGAACTTTGGTTTTTAGGATTTTTCTTCCTTCTCTCTCCTCTACTTTCCTCTTTTCCTTTAATAAAGTTGTAGAAATTAAGTTTAATATTCAAAATTTCTCCTTCCTATACTTCTGGCAACCAATGTCCATTATATATATAACCTGCCTATGGTTAGGGAAAGGCAGAGTAGTATAATGATCAGAAGCATGTGGCTTTCTAATTTTAGTTTATTATTACACATGTACAGTACATAATGTTTACATTCCGTGTGGGGATTTGGTACATAACATCTGCATTCATTTTTACATCCCGTTCCCTTCCTCTTCCCCCTTCTACCCATCTCTTGATCTTCTTCCCTCCATCTCTTGATCCCCTTCCCTTGTTTGTGCGTGTTTAAGTACATAATGTTTGTGTGCCTTCTGTGAAGTTGGCACATGTACATGACACATCCAAATAATTAGGAGCATGTGGTTTTTGAACCAGACTAAATCCTAGTTCTACCATGTAGTAATTGTGTGGCCTGGGTCGATGAACTTGACCCCTTCATTATTCCAATGTATTCAATAGCTGGATGGGGATAATCATTATCTTAATCCCAGCTCTATCAGTTACTAGCTCTGCAAATTTAGTGAAAAAATTTAAACTCAATATGCTAGGCCATTAGAGTAAGAATAACTATCACTATCAATAGGATTTTTATGAGGGGTATATAAATTTTAAGTGCAACATAAATATTCACTGTCAATATATATTCCTTTGTGTACTTGAACCTTTTAGCCCAATTACCTTTGTTTGTATGTCTCTCAGAAATAATATATGGGTATTTTAAGCACAGAATATGTGTAGCTCCATAAATGTGCTTAACCACACTAAATGAACACATAAATAATCTTACTTTTTGATATTTAGGGGTACAAGCATGATTTTTCCAAACAAGGGTATTAGTATAAGGAAATAGCAAAGAAGAAAGGTGTTGAGAACACTTAATTAAATATTTTATTTAAAAAAAGAACTGGCCCTTTCCTGTAGTTTCCATAATCTTCTCTAGATTTATTTAACTTGCCATTTTTGAAATTTCCCACCAGGCCCTTGGAATTTAGAGAGCTTTTCTCCTTGTTGTCAAGCTAAAAATGTTTATTTGTATACACATGGCAACAGGAAGGTGTACTACTCTTTCTTTGTCTTAACGGTTTTATAATTTTGTTGCTCTAGGTTCTCACTATCCATTTTACCATATGTTGAATTTAATGACCTTAGGATAAAAATGAAGGTTTTTCTATCATAACCAAATTGAAAGTAAGTGACATACATAAGCATAAACTGTCTTACAAGATGGATACTTTAGATCCCATTCACTACTCTTTAGGAAATAATATAATTTAATCATTCGTGATACGTACTGAGGAGGACTATTTTATGCTTAGAAATTGCCAGTTAAAATATATTTTTATAAACTATAAAACACTTCTTAGCCTCCATTTCCTACTGCATGCTACCAACAGCTTTGAGAGGATGCTGAGGTCACTTTTTTCCTGATACTATACTCATACAAACACACCTGGTTTTGAATGTCACAGAAGAAACTAACCCAAGTCCACATGCTTTTTCTAAGCAATGCCTCAAAGAAAAACTCAATCTAACTAAAAATATCATCTCTAAATTATACATTTAAGTGTCTTGTTCATTGTAAGGTTTGCCATGGTACACTTTGCCTTTCAGTGTTCAATCAACATACTGAATTGCTTTTGTCTAATTTAATTGTAACAGATTTTTGTTTTGCGTTTCTCTTTGTTTTCTTTTTTCAGTAACCTCATTCTCTTTACATCCAGTAACAAGATCTTTTAAAATTACTTGTTATTAACAAATAAAAAAACTTGTTATTAGAAGGAGAAAAGTGTCAGTGCTAAAAATATTCCGAGGATTAGTGATATGGAGAGACACCCCCATATAGCTTTGTTCAGTTATCTGGTTGTAAAGCAAAATTGTCTGGGTGTTGATTTATTCTGTGTGGAATCTTTAAAAGATATTTGCTTAAGTCCTCAAGAGAAGATATAAAAGAATTATAATTACAGTAAATATCTGCTTTATATGATCATTTCATAATTTTAAAGTATCAACTTTTTATGAAAATATACTATGATACAAAATAATGTATCTTTCTCTTCATATTTAAAATATATATTTCCATAACACCAAAGTTTTCAAACGAAGTATACGTAAGCAGACATTTGGATTATAGTGACAGTTTAATAAGATGACCAGACTGACAAAGAATAGTGTATTGGTTTGACCACCTTACCTAAAATAGCCTTCCGTCAGCCTCAGAAACTTTGACATCCTAATAGTCTACATTCCTTGCTTGTTTTTTTTTAATAGCATTTAATTATACTTCACAGATACTTCTTTGTGTCTTTGCTCCTTTCCTGTCTCCCTTACTAAGATATAAGCATCATGAAGTCAGGCACTTTGTCTTATTTCTCTCTTTATTCTTCGTGTCTAGAATGGTACCCAATATATATAGACTCTTAATAAATATATTTTGAATTAGGTAACTCATATATGTCTACTCTTATAATAGCCTTAAAATACCAAATCATAATGATAGCAACACTGTATATTAATGTCTTGCAAGTAAACTGTTAATGACAAATTTATCCTAGTTAGCACCAACAGTTTTGTAGTATGCAGCCTTTTGTGTCTCTCTGTGACAGTTATATCCACAGTTTCAAAAGAGTTTTTATTATGAGCAGAATTTTTCTTCCTAAAAGTAGTTTAAACTTTCAGTTGTCTTTTGAAATCAGTTCTAGAGTTACATAGGAACTATATCTTACTCTTTTCTCTGTCCCTAAAATATACCTCACTGTTCAGCACATACCGAGCACTTAATAAATGTTGTTGAATGAATAGATTGAGGAAGCCTCCTTTTACTTTCTCGATTCATCTCATAAGGGACCTCTTGGTTCTCTAGAATTCTGATAAAATTAAATTTCAGTGACTTTTTTAAAAGTAGTAAATACAAGGTACTGGATTATAATTCAGTGATGAATTTGCATTTAGTGGTATTATCATGGTGTTCACCAAAAGCACTGGGCTAGTCTCCCCAAAGAGTGGTAAAACTTGCCTTGTACAAGTTTAACCTCTTTCTCATTACAAATGAACTATAGACTAGGTTTTAATTTTGACCTTTTGCTAATCATTAGACTCACATTTAAAGGGATGTTTGTCATGAAGTTGACTTTAGACTCAACACTTTATAACCTAGAGTTTGTGTATATGTACTATGCTATTGAATTCATGTGCTCATAATTTTATTCCAGTTCTACTTTAGTCCCTTCTTTACTTCTCACACATACTTTAATAATTACAGTGTAGATTTTACCATAAGAAAGTTTGGCTTTAGGTGACTTATTCTTAAAATTAAAGTTTCCATGGATAGTGATTTTGTCTTTTAGAAACATAGCTTTGTTGTCTTTTCAAGATATGCTTCATACCAAGTGCACATTTAACATGGTTTGGTAAAAATGGTGAAATACATGAGTGTTTTTGAAGAATGTAATCTGCTTGATAGGGGAGAGAAGATGTTAGGTGAACAAGTTCTCAAACAGAAGTTTTTCTTTAAAAGGTATCTACATAAGATTATTCCACAATTAAATACACTATCAATTCCAGACTTACCTCAACTAATTTGAAAGATGGATTCTTCTTCACTTTCTGACTTGGAAAAGTATGTGAGTCATGGTTCAGGATTTCCCAGTGGGAGATGGTCACCTTGTTTAAAGATTTTGTGATTTGACAATCTGATGTAGGGTAAATAGTTGGAATAGTGAACACAGGGGAGCCTGGATGGGACAAAAGAAAACTAGTTAGACAGCACAGTACTTTGCTTTAAACAGTCTCCACATTGGCCATAGCAGCAGTACTTAATGAGAAAAGAATGAAGACTTGCTTTGAACTTGCTATTATTCACGAAAACACATTTTGAAGATCCAAATGGAAGTTAAAACTGTGTATACTTGTATCTTTGGAAAACTAAATATCCTTGGACATAGAACCAGGTTCCTGAAGTAGTCATGAAATGTGTTTCTCCTTGGTTCATTAAGCTTAAATGAGCTTAGTCAAAATATTATTCCACAGTAGAACTATTATTTTCACAGCAAGGCCCAATATCAGGATAAATTTGACATGATATTGTTTAAGTATACTTAAAGGAGCATTTGTCTAAAGAAACCGAACAGCAAGAATATTTGGAGTGCTTCTACATTTGGTGCAAAAAAAAAATTAGTACAGCTTTAGTTATCTCAAAACCCTTTATTTTAGAGATATTAACAGCTTTTCCCAAGTGTTGTACTGAAAGAGCATCTTAGGTATGGATACACTTTGTATTACAGTAAATTATGGCTCATTGAATACTCGATGTATCAAGAATAGCAAAGAACACATCATATATAGGGTTATTCCAAATACTCTTAGACATCTTAAATATCCCTATAAAGTACATGATAAGAAATTAAGTTGTGATGTTACTGGTTTTAATATTTGTTTTTTCAGATGGCTTAACAGAATCAACATGCTGACTGCAGGATATGCAGAAAGAGAGAGGATTAAGCAAGAACAAGGTAATAGAATACCCTTTTATACAATTGTATCATACTTTTTTCTTACTGTTATCCTATACAGCTATTCATCACTATTACTTGAAAAAAAATTTGTCAGTGTGTGATCATTTTCTCTGTGCGTTTTGAATCTAACTCATAGCAACTTACAGATTAAATTTAATACATTGAACAGACAGGGACTGAACTCTGAAATTTTTGGAGTACTTATTGTGGAGTTTTCTCCTGAGTATTGTTCTTTCCTTTCATCTACTTTTTATGAAAAAACAAAATCATAGGAAGGAAAGATCCTGTAACAGGTCTTATGTATTGACCCAAGCCCAGGTCCTTGGCAGTAAGCTTCATTGTTTGTTTTTCTTTTATACTATTTATTAGTTTCATAGATATTTAAATAGACTTTTATGTGAAGAGGTCAGATGTATAACCCTTTCTCTTATAAAGTATCTCATTTGGTGATGTTCTTCACCTCTCTTACCGTGTAACTCTCTGATCTGAGGGAATTTGCCTTGGTATTGATCTCAGATTTATGAAATATCATGATGTAGAACTGAATCTTAAGAATGAAAGCTGTGATCACCATTCTGAGGTGGATTCAAATTTCCAAAGGGATGCTTCTGTGTCCCTTGGAAGCATATCTAATTTCTTGAAATTATTTGAAACCTCCTAAGTTAAAAGAATTCCATAGATTGATACAGATAGGAACAAAACTTCTCTATAGTTGTGTCTCCAGTAAGCTCTGCAAGTTTATTCGTGTGGAAATTCTAAAACCCTGTTTCCTCTCATAATTAGAATAAAGCCTCAGCCAAAACTTTAAAAAAAATCTAAAAATTAAAGTCTTAGAGACCTAGAGATGACAAAAGATTTCAAAATCAGAATTTTAGCAAATGTTCAGGCAGTTATCAGTGAACTTCTAATGTAGAGTCAAATAATGTTTTTGAGTCCTAAGGGCCATACACTGTCTCCGTTGCAGCTATGCAACTCTGCTATTGTAGTGCAAAAGTAACCATAGATACTTGAGTGGGCATGGCTGTGTGCCGGTGGGCTTTATGATCTGACTATTATGTCATTTTTCCCACTTTGAAAAATAGTTTTCTACTGTAGCCATTGAAAATTTAAAAACAATTCTTGGTCCACAGACCATGTGAAAATAGCTAGAGGGCCACATCTGACCTTCCGGCCAAAGTTTGCCAATTCTTGGGCTATGCGGTGAGAGAATGGAATTTGCTGATTCATTGTAAGGTGAGGACATAGGGCAGGAAAATCCCATATAAATAGGAAAACATAGTTACTCCTAAGGGGGATTTAATGTCTTATTGTGGACTTCAAAAATGAATTCTTGAAATTATTTAAGAAAAACTAAACAGCAACATAAATGTAGATAAGTACTAATCTTTATAGAGTATACAACCGATAAAAATAATTTGCTGAGCAGATTTAATAAAAAAAAATAACTTGAGAAGGAGTCAGTGTTAATGCAGAAGTGATTTTTGAAAAAAGTAGTGAGTTTGATATAAAGTCTGCAGTGGAGCAAGATGAAGATATTTGATTCAATATTACATTCTGTGCTAGACCCTCAACAAGCACTTACAATTACGTGAAAGTGAACAGGGCACTTATCCTGCCTGAAATTACCATTCATTCTGGTAGAAGATTGTCTTAGTGTAGTATACAGAGTTAAATATAATAAAATACAAATCAAGTTCCACAGAAAAAGGGCTTAAGAGAGTCCTTTCAGGAAGAGAGTGGAGAAAGATTTTATGTTTGACTCTGTTTTCAGAACTGGTTCTTGCAAAATGGGAAAGATGTAGACTCAAGGAAGTAACTAAAACATTTCAGGGAATGGAAGCTGCATAGATAGTTCCACAACTAATATAGAAGCCATTTCCATCAAATCAATGTGCACTAGCAAATCTTGGCCAAGACTGTGAAGTATCAGATCAGTTATTAAGACACATACATGTCTTAATGGTTAAAAGTTTATTCCTCACCTTCATGCTTCAGTATAATTTTATAGGACTAAATTTGTGATAAGAAAACTGAAAAAAATGCCAGCCTTTTTCAAAATTCTTTAAAAGACATGAACAGTTCTTTAAGTGTTTATAGATATTTTCTGAATTTTTTGGTTTAGTACATATACATATCACATCTTGATCATTTTTACTTCTCCTTCCTCTCCCCTGCCTCTCATCTCGCCCCCGTCCTCAGAGCCTCTTCCTTTCTACACAGTCTGTCTTCCTGTTTCATATCATGTCTTTTATTTTGCTCTTTAAATTAAAGACACAAATGGGTAAGGTACTCATAGGAAAATGAACTTACTGAAAAATGTTACTTTGCATATGTAAGGAAGCTTGGAATTTCAGGCTTCAGATCTGTATTTTATTACTCAGCATTACTGTGAAGCTGAGCATGACCTTGATTTTAGTGAACTTCCTTTATACGTGGTATTATATTATCAAATTTCATTGCGGATAAAAGAATTGGTAAATTATATTGCATATTCAGGTTCCAAAAAGTATTTATTCTTTGGATTCATGCTGCCCTGGTCTGTCATGTGAGTATATATTTTAATCCCTACTGAAGTGTAATAGAAAATCATAGGCAGAAGTTTATCATTACAGTTCATGTCTCTCTTGGTAAGGCAATGCAACAAGAATCTCTTAAATAATTCTGACTTCCTCAGACTGTAAGGCATTTTAACATATGACAAAAATATTTTCGACTTCTACCTTATGCATTATTAGATCTCATGTATCTATATAGAAAACTAAGAGGTACATACATCTACTCCATATTTCTATAATTACTTGACATCCTCCGAGTACCATCGTCAGTACTGTAATTAAATTTTATACAGGAAGTAGCTCCTTGGATGTTAATAGTAGAATGGCAGTTACCAGAGTCTGGGAAGACTAGGAGGGTAAATGAGCAAGGGATAATCACTGTATGCTACGTTTTAGTTGGATGGAGTAAGCAGTTCAGAGATGTTGCACAGTAGCATAGCTGTAGATAATGACAATATATTACATATTTATTCAAAAAGCTAGAACAAAGGAGTTTGAATTTCTTTACCACGAAGAAATAATAAATGAGGTGATAGATATGTTTGCCTTCTTTTTAAGTTTTCTGGTATTTCCAGTATTTAAGTTTCCAGGATTGAGCCCAGGGGCCTTTACACTGAGCTACATCCCTAGCCCTGTTTTTATTTTAATGTTGAGACAGTCCCCCTAAGTTGTCCAGACTGGGCTTAAACTTGCAATCTTCCTGCCCCAGCCTACCAGAGAGTGTTGATATTTTAGGAATATGCCACCACATCTAGATTTTTTTATCCTAACTGAAACATTACACAAAATGTGTACATATATTGAAACATCACATGGTACCCATAAATATGTACAATTTTTATTTTAATGCACCAGTTAAAATTAATTTATATTTTTAAAAAACCCAAAATATACCTCTTTGAAGTTTGAGAATGGTTCACCAAGATATAAAGGAATAACTGCCAAATACTGTTTCTTCTTAAATACGAGTGCAGTTTAGAAATGACTTATTGACTTAAGTAATGTTTAAAGGAAAAAAAGGGTTAAGGATGTAGCTCAGTGGAAAGGCCCTAGAAATCACCAGTACTGAAAAAAAGTTTAGTGATGGATATCTTTAGTTACAGGAGTACAAAGTATGTAGGGTTCTCACCAGGTGTGGTGGTGCATGTCTGTAATCCCAGCACTCTGAGAGGCTGAGGCAGGAACAAACACAGTTTAAGTCCAGCCTGGGCAGCTTAGTGAGACCTTGTCTCATGATAAAAAAAGAGGTGGAGATATAGCTCAGTACAAAGGACCTGGGCTTAATCTCTAGTACCACAAAAATAAATTTTAGAAAATTAGACAAAGGATGTGAGTCATTCAGTATTCATAGTTGTAATTACACAGTTGCACTTAGAGAAAACAGGGAATAGGTTTACAGTAACTTGAACCAAGATAACAATTTGGCTAACTGTTAGGATATGCTGATCATTTTTCTGTTTGTTTCTTTTCAGTTTTTATATTCATGACATTATTTTTAGTCACCTATAAAGTCTTTGTAAAGCTTACCAAAAATGTATGGAACATGTTATATTTCTTTGATAATTCCAAGTGAAATAGTCAAGTTCTTTTAAGAAATTATCTTTTGGTTCAAAATGCAAAAGTAAAATTTATTCACGATGAATTATAAAGTTGTATACTGTTGTAATAGACATTAAAGTAGCCACTTATTTGTGCTATATAGAGAGCTACAAAAAAATTAATTTGCTCTTAGAATAAAATCAGACCACATTCAGCCTCTAAGCTGTGGTGTAGCTCGAATTCTCCATACAAACCCACAATGCCTAACTAAATTTTCTGTGTAGCATCTTCTCTGGTATTGTCTCTCAAACACAGACAGCTTAGTATAAGTAGTTAATTTGCAAAGAGGTATATTACTCTTATCTTCAGGTGACCCAATAAAATTTAGATTGATAATGCTTTCTAATAAACCAAGAATCACATTTAATAGTGTGTTAGAATTCTTACTAATATAACTAAAGAGAAAAAGTAGAGAGAGAACTTCCACAAATTTGCAACTTTTAGTGACAGCTATAGAGCTGTGAATATAGCAGTGGATATTTCCTTTCCTGTTGCTAAAATGGTATTAACTACGGGGGTATTAGCACCCTAAGACCTCAGAACATCAGTGCAAGCATCAAGAAGAAATTCCAGCACAGTTCCTGGAAATACTTGAAAAGATAATGGCACAGTGATCTTGGCAAGCCCACTGCTTTGTGTGTGTGGGGGACAGAGAGGAGGTGCTTAGTCCCTTCGCCTTCAAAACTGACTTTCCAGTAGAATTTCAGGCTCTCCCTAAAACTACCCAGCCTGGGCGCCAGCACACTCCATGTTTCATTTTTCATTGCTGAAACTTGCTACAAAAGAACAAAAAAACAACAATGTCTGAGAAGATGAACAGCAGGCATTTGTTGACTGTGTAATCTAGCTCAGACTGTTTTGGCATGCTGCCTACAAATACATCCTAGATAATATTTATTGAATACTTTTGAAGTTTAAGATGCTTGAATATATGTTCCTTATTTAGTACTACACTACACACAATTCTGAAAGGTGGTTATTACTAGACTCCCTTTTATAGATAGTAAAGCAGACCTAGACAGGTTAAGTAACCATCCCAAGAGCACAGATGGTAAGTGATCTGGTCAAGAATAGAACCTGCACATCTCTCAGTGTATAGGTCATGCTTTTTCCACCCACATTTGTTGTCTTTATTTCCGGGCAAATACATCAGTTGATATTTGAAGGAAAACTTAGTATATTACCTATAACTGACCAGTATTTCATTGTTTTTACAATGAAAAAAATCAAATTTAGGTTAACTAATCATTACTTGTCTTTTATTCAAAGGGAATAATTAAAGGAGGAGTAGAATTGTCACTGTCCTTGTGTGTTAAGGCCTGAATATAATGGACAGTTTATTATATTCCTGATTTCCACTGCTGACAAGTTTCTGTTCACAGTAACCAAAGTTAAAAATCGGGAGACAGTCGAATTAAGTCATCATAAGTATATTTCACAACAAACTCCCCTGCTATGTTATTTTTTTTTTTTTTCTTGTTTTTTCTCCGGTACCGGGAACCGAACTCACGACCTTGCGCTTGCCAGGCAGGCGCTTTTTGCCGCTGAGCTAAATCCCCAGCCCCTCCCCTGCTATGTTAAACAGAAGGGTCCCAGAAACTTAGTCCTCAGGGCTTTAGGACAAGGAAGTTCAAATCCCAACTCCATTACTTCCTATTTAGCATATAATAATTTCTCAATAAATGATAGTACTTAATGTCTTAGTTACTTTTCTCATTCCTGAGACAATATTCCTGACACCCAAAGATAAAATAAGAAAGGTTTATTTGGCTCACAGTTTGTAGAGGTTTTAGTTCATAGTTGGCTGGCTCCAAGACAGGGTGGCATGGCAGAGGGGCATCACCGAGGAGAAACAGTTCATGATGGGCAGAAGACAGGAAGGCAGCAAAGCAGCAGCTGATGGTAGCAGCCCTTTTTCTGTCCCTTATATATTCTATCCTGGCTACATATCCTCAGGGCAGGTAGCACTCACACCCACAGTGGGCCTTCCCATTATCTACACCAGGAACTCTGCCAAACCAATCAGTGGACAAATTTAGTAATCATACACCCTTAATCCCAGCATCACACACTTAATCTCAGTATCACATACTTAATCATAGCATCATACACTCTAGATCCAGCCATTTCTGATAAGCCCCACCTATGACCACATGAGTCTTTGGAGATACATTTAGACACAAACCACAACACTTAATCAGCACCACAGGGGAAATATATAAAAATAGTATAATGTGAGAATTCCTGAGAAGAAAAGGGTTCCTATAAAATTATGTGCTGTGATTTTTCACCTAAATCTGAATATTTATTAACCCTTGCAATAGATCTTTTTTGACATAAATTTTATAATAAGGAAACTTTTGATTTAATATTTTTGTTCTTAACTGAAACGGGTAATACTTACGTGATTTTCTTTTTCTGGTAAACAACATAAAAATGAACCACCAGTTCTAGAGTGCGTGAGATGTTAATGGAACAGATTCTGATTATTGACCTTTTGCTACATTTGACTTAAACTAGTAATATATCCCTCAAGAGTTGATCCTCCTCCCTCTTGCCTGAGGCCTGCCAAATCACTTTGTTTGGTGGCTTGCATTTTCTACCATTTTTATGGAGTTTTGGATGTCTGGAACTTATAGCCCACATTTGGCAGATTTGCCCTTTTGCATTTGGCAAGAATCATGCTTTGCCATGTGTTTCCAAGGAGAGATGGCAGGTACAGTGTTATAGAGGTGCATCTCAGCATGATTGTAGAACACTGATTTTTAGACAACCAATGAATCGAAGCCAGAGGAAAGAATTTAGAAGGTTATTTTGGGATATGTTTATATCTGTAGAAGTGTACGTGTTCTTTAAGTATTCGTCTTTAAGATAAAATGATATACCTTTAAGAACCATCATGTAATATCATTTAAAATAATTTGGTCTAGAATCAAAAGCACTCTAACCCTAACTTGACTCATAAAACATAGTTTTCTTTTTTTTTTTTTTTTTTTTTTTTTT